GATCACAATAGCTTTTTCTGAATAAACTATCCATAATAGCTCCCTGTGTGGATATTCTCATCTGGAAAAGTCATGGGTCAAATAAGTCATTCCATAATAGCTATCCTGCAATAGCAATTCCAGTYCACTTTCCAGGGTAGAAAAGTCCTTAGTCAACAGCTCAAAACTTCGGTTTCTGCCAGAAGTTTTTTCTCTGTAGAGGATAATATAAATTTGTTCTATTGAATTCTTTAAGGCCCAAATTCTGCACTGAAGTCCCTTTGGGAGCAATACATGAGATAAGCCAGGGAGAATTTTATAYTGCAGGAGTTTGTATTTATGTGCACAGACTCTGCAGTTTTAYAAACAGACATTTCATTAACACCTTCATGTGGCTGTGAGCTGTACACAGCTGTACACAGAGAAAAGGCTGATCTATAAATGTGCAGGAAGAGATTGAAAAATGTTTGAATGGGCTAAAAGTGTATCCTGGAAAGGCAGCACAGAGTCTTCACTGCAGGCCGACCAGCAATCTCACTGCATTCAGAACTGCTTGTGCAACAGCTCAGGATAACATGTTTTGGGCTGTATTAATGTTTATATTTGAATCATGGGTTTTCTCTTCTCCAGAAAAAAAAAAGAAAAAGAAAATAACATAAAAAAAAAATAAAATAACAGACAAGGGAAAAGAAATAAAGGAACAAAGAAAGAAAAAAAAAAAAAAAAAAAAAAAGAAAGAAAGAAAAACAAAAGAAGATAAAACATCTATGCCATTTTTTTCATTTGATACACTTTTTACTCAGTCTTAAGACCCTCTAAAGCAAAGGTTGCCATTTATCCAAAATGACATCACAGTGCCCTTGGCATTTTTGTGGKATGGACTAATTAACATTACTAGCTTAATTAAAATCACCAAATGCATTTTAAAGGATGACATAGGTTGATTTTAATCTAGACTTCCAAAAGTGAAGTAGAATGTTAATCAACTGCCCCACCCATTATTTATATGTCCCATAGCACTCAGWGTCAGAACTCCTACATCATCCTCTGACTTCATTTTCCCCAGGGATTTTTAATTAATCACAACTGTCTAAAGTTCATCCCAAGTTTTACCTGTTGGCATTAATCTGGGGTTATGACACCGCTGGTGCAGCATTCCCATAAATGCAACAGGTTTAGGTTCAAGTAGTTTCAATGTACAGCAGGTGGCATTTTTGTGTTTAAAGAGTGAAATCATACCTGTGTGTTTGTTCATGCTTTCTAGGATTTTGCCAACAAAAGGGAAACTSAAAATAAACAAGACATTTTACTTTTTGAAAGCCAGAAGAAATGGTGCAKCTGTTTCCAAAACTGCTATTTTCAAGCTGTCATATGAACACAGAATAGAAGATATTCTTGCTTTCCAGTTATATTTTAGCACAAATATCTTCCATTTGTTTGTTTCAACATATTTCCCCTTCAACACGTTTTTTTAATCAGATTTYTTTTCCTAATAGACTGGAGGAATGTCCTATCTTGGTGTGAGACCAGTTCAAAGACAGGGAGGAATACTAAGATAGTACTGGGCAGACTTAAACTTCTCAGYATGTAAAAATTGTGTGTTCAAATGTTCAGCCCTGCAGTGCTGCCTGTTTGTAGCTTAATTACTATCAATGAGTGTGGATGGCATTTATGCTAAATTAGGAAAAACTATTCTTTCATTTAATTTGCTTTGTGTTTCTTTGTCTCAGATTGTTATTTTGCCCTGCCACCAAAAATACTTTACTACCCTTAAAGCGTTAGAAAACACGGATCTAAAAATCGACAGAGGTTTGATGAAAGGTACTTTTCCTTTTAAGAATGGCCTGTAGAGTTTATTTCTGGCTGAAAGATAAAACACCAAAAGAAGGGGTGGTAACAAAATGCCACATCCTCTTACAGTGATTTCACTCTCCACAGAATAAATATTTTGCAGGTGTTTCTCACTCTGGAGCCAGGTAGACWGCACACACACCATTAGTTTTGAGTTGTTCTTTTTAACCACCCACATTATTTGGAAGGAGATATCCCATTTGAAGTTGTGAGCTGTTAGCAGCGAATGACTTTTCATCTCCTATTTCTCTGGGCTTTGCTCGTTAGAAAAATAGATCAGTAACTTTTCATGTAATTGGCAGGTGATGGATCTGGCTCCTGTTTCATCACAGTGTTAAATTTAACAGTTTCTGAGCAGTAACACTTTCTGTGGTATCTGTGGTGCCATCTACTGCACAGCTTGGTAGAGGCAGGACGAGACAACTGCATCCCTCCACTGCTGCTTTCATTTCCTTCTTCCCATCCTCACATTTAATAATGTTCTTTATTTGCTCTCCTAATGATTTTCCTTCTTATACATASTTATAAGTGTATATAAATACATATTAGAGTGTATATTTATAAGCATTTATCTGTAAATGTATATATACATAATATAATGATGTTTTAAATATGCAGTAGGTATCTGGAATTTAATTTTGGCAGGCTTTTTTGGCAAGCAGATCTAAAAAGGAAAAAAAATAAAGAGGAATCGAATCTGGGAGAACAACCTGTTAGTTCATTTATTGGTTGYAGTTCATTTACTTATCATGTACTGGACACAAATTTATCTGGTTAGAARTATTTATATTTAAATACAGATATGTGTGCAGTATAAAGTTTGAAGCATGGARATTTTGTTATTATTACTTGTTTTTGTTAACTCAGATATAAGCACTGTGTATTTTAGTTGTGTTTTTTATGATTKCTTTTTGATGCTATGAAGAAGTAAGCCATTAAACTGGCTTCTCATAACTGGATGTGCTTAGTTTTGTTTCCAAYCTGTTGCTGGGGGCATGGTATAATTTTGGCAGTTCCATATCAAACAAAAATCTGTTGATTTTGATGTTGAGTTGTTGGAAAGAGCTACAGAGATTTTACATAAATATTTCYGGAGTGATCTCAAGATACCTAAAGGCCAAAGACATAAGATGAAAGATCTGAAAGCTTCAATTTATTAATTTYCCTTTCTTTGGCTTTCCTCTGTTAATTGAAGCACCTTGTGCTCCTATCATCATAGCCTGAGGTTTTCCTCAAATAAATCAATGAATGAACTTTTTAATTACCTACCCAGGCTGGATTTGGATGGCTCACTCACACGAGTACCAAAGAAGAGAAGTTCAGTGGYGGTGGCTGATGGAGCAACATTTTAAAAACTGCATCACCTAACTTGTTAACAAGTCTAAGCATCACAATGTTTGAAATGCTGTTATCTGTGAGCTGGATCAAGCTTAGCTTCCAAAATTGCTGAATGCTCTGCATAAAAGATGATGTTATCAACAGTGGGCCTTGGAATTTTTTCTCTAGAAAGGACAAGCCTTAAGATATTTATGTCCTAAGTAACTTGTAACACTCTCAGAGCGACCTTTATGAAGAGTTAATTATGATGGCATAGTTAGAGGTTGAAAATATCCCTTGGCATATCATAACTGAAAAGGTGAGAGAGTTCAGCTTTGTAAAATTTGGGATATTTTGCCAAGGAGCTGATGGTGCAGGAGGTCTGATCTTTGCACATAAAAACACAGCAGAAATACAGCGGAGTTGTAGTAGGAGTACCAGGGGGCTGCTCCTCTGATCCCAYCAGCATTTCCAGGATTGCTGCATTTTCTCTCTGCAATCACAATGAATTCAAACCTTCTGAAGTGAAAGACTGTATTTTTTGTAGGAAAAGCTGAACACCTTAAGATGAAATGCACCAAAATACTCATCGTGGGTGGGTTTTCTTCCCAAATTCTCTGTCTCTGGCTGTGTCACCCACTTAGAAGTGCTGTCCTCTGGCCGGGGATGCCATGTGAACAACAACAACCCCAGTTCAGACATAAGCCTTAAAAAATCCAGCCTTTTTTTTCTTAAATTTCAGCTTCTCTGGAAGCTAGTGCTTCATGACTCTTAGAATTGAGGTTTATTGTTTGTTCAGAACACAAGACTTTAACAGCGTATTGAGAAAGATTTGACAACGTATTGCAAGACTATCGTAAACCTTTGGAATGCTGAAGGCAAATGATGAAACATAGAGTTAAATCTTTAATCTTGTTAGAAGTTGAATTCCACTTTGATGAAGGAGGTGAATTTTTCAACAGCTGGAATTGTACTGGAGCTCTGTGTCTCTCAGCTTCCCGCCAGTTGGGAACGTTTGAGATTGAGGGAAGAGGAAAATGGCTGGATGAGGAAAGAACTGATGAGTTGTTCAGCCACTTCTTAGCCAACCTGGCTGGATTTATTGCAAAAATCTCAATGCCATGGTTGGCCATCATCTCCATGGACGGCCTGAGGGTCAGTGTCCAGTGCGGCCTGTCAGGGTGGGCGGGGCCATCACCTGTCAATCARCAAGGGCGGACACAGCCATTGGTCAGTCAGGAAAAGGCGGGAAAAGCCCTCAGCACATCCAGAGCAGAAAGAGCGGCCACAGAACAGTCCGGACAGGTGGGAAATGCCCTTGGGAGATCAGGAACAGTGGGAAATGCCCTTGGGTGGTCAGGAATGGTGCGAAATGCCCTTGGTCAGTTCAGAATAGTGGGAAAAGCTCTCAGTTGGTCATCAGGACAGGAAAAGCCCTCAGCTGGTGAAGGGCGGGAAAATCCTCAGCTGGTCAGGAAGGGCGGGAAAAGCCCGCAGATGGTCAGAAAGGCCGAAAAAGGCCCTTGATCGTTCTGGAAGGGCAGAAAAAGTTCTTTGGCAATTGAGAAGAGTGGGAGAATTCCTTGGTTGGTCAGGAAGAGCAGGAAAAGCCCTTGGTCAGTCAGGAAGGGTGGGAAGAGCCCTCAGTYGGTCACTCAGGAGGGGCGGGAAAACCTTGACTTTGGTTTCTGGAGAAAATTTCTGCCTTTTCTCTCTGACCTTTTGACTCAAGTTCAGGTCATGAGTTTTCCATCTGGCATGCAGAAGAGCCATTTCCAATTTCTGTGGTAACCTCTTCTGTCTTTTTTTAACAGGGCTTCTTCCTCATCCAGAGAAGTTGGACTGACCTGTGCCACCCATCATGGAGGAGCATGGTCTGTGTTCCACTGAAGTGCCAGCTGGGAACAACACCAGCTCCAGAGAAACAAATCTGTCTGCTCAGGAGAGCCACATCACCAGGTAAAACATGTGAAAAATAGCACCTGTACTTTCTTTCATTTCCAATGCTTAAGTAGGTAGAGCACCATTGAACTTAACAGGCTCATGCTAAAGCAAAAACATAATCCAATAAAAAAACAAATGGGCTCTCAGATTGCAAACGGCATCTTCATCCCCTCAGATCTCTCCAACAAGTCTGTGGCTACWGACAGAAATACAGAAAACTGTGACAAAACATGCATACTGAATTACACCAACAAAATACCCTCGTCAATTTTTAAAGAGTCTTTCTGCACATGGTATATCTGTCTCAGTGGCAAGAACAGTCTGGGAGCATCATGAAGGTGTTTTAAAAGGAAAAAGATATTATTAGCTTTATTGTTTGGAGAGTTCTTGGTCTCTGGCTCATGACTTTAKGGATGCACAGTTCGAAGTTCTGGCATGTGTTGGTTTATTACATTCCCGATTTTTATTTGCAACTGTTTCTTTTGTGTACCTTGTAAGCTTGCTAAGGGTGCTATAATATTAATGTTTTTTTGCTATTTATGTTGAAGATCAGTTCTCGTTCTGTATAGAAACAAATATCCACTCACATTGCAACCTGTTAAAAACGATCAGGCAAACAGTGTGAGCTGTGCAGCACCTTCTCTTTCTGTGCTCAGATGTCACTGTTAACTAAACCACAGTGAATTTTAAGTAGGCATACTTGGCCGGTGTCATATGTTTGCTTATTAAAATTCAGATAATCTCTGCAAAAAGAGGCAGAATATCAGCAGGGGGTACACGTAGACTTCCTGTCCTCTTCCTCCTATTTTGTATTTTATGTATTGCATTTCCAGTTTCTGTTGGCTATCAAATGGGGAAATTAGGATTGGAACAGAAACCTGGACTTGCAAATTCTGCAGCAAACTTTGAAGTACATCTGGAATATGAAGAGAGTTACAGTGGACAGAATCAAATAAATAAGTAAAATGTTTATGACCATCAAAGCAATGATGTGGTTTAGAATTCCTACCTAGCTATCTATTCTTTCATCCATCTGCCCACACAGATTTTTATGGTTTTCAACACTAATTTTTGTTATGCTTGAGCTTTAAATTGCTCTAAAAAAATCATGATCTAGTTTTAGCAAAGTGGGAAGAGTGAGGAAGCTGATAGACTTAGGATAGTGTAGAGTACACTTGTAATTTTAAGGACAGCTGAAATGCTGGAGTCAGATTGCTTATGAAAATAAAAAGCATCTGTCATAACACTCAAACCAGCCTGGAGTTTTGCTGTGAGGGATCTGCTGTAAGGCTACTTTGTCYTTTTAGCTGAAAGATACAGATTTTATTATTTCCACCATGCATCTGTCGAGACTGAGCCTTCATGTAATTAAAATCCTTAACAGTTTGTTCAGGGCAACAGATCAAAAGGTTAATGTCCGATGGTACAACAGGAAGTATTTGTACYCTTGAACACTTTTTAAATTTATAGCATTTAAAAACAACTTTGCCAAAATCATGGCCAAAGCAAATATTACCTCATTTATAATAAAACATTAATCATTAGTCACAAACCAGCCAGTTGATCTAAAAGTACAGCTGGTGAAAAATTTGATGGTTACAGGATTGAATAGAAATATTAAATTGTGTCCTGCAGTCATGCATCTGGAATGGAAAGGCAAAGGTTTTAGGGAAACTGAGCAAATAAAAACTAAAAAACAAAAGTATTCCTCCACAGTTCTGAAGCTAATATATGCTCTAAGCAGTTTTGTCTTCCATGTTTTTCTAAGAGTGGGGATAGCTGATCAAAACTTAAAACAGAACTAGATTTTATCGTATGATCTGTGTCTTTGTTTCAGTTCTGAAGTTCTTGAAGCAATAGAAAATGTTATTCAAGGTGTAGTTCAAAGCCTGGCCCAAAAAAAAGCACCTGTGCTCACGCTGGCTAACAGAACTGATTGGAGGAACATAGAGTAAGTAGTAAAYATTTCAAAATCCTGCTTTCTATTAATATAAATGGCATGAATATGAATTGAATTATTTAACTTCCAGAAAAGTTATTCATACATAGTCATTCTGTAACCATTAGAATCAGTGAATGATTTTAAAAAGTAATGGGCAAATAATGCTTTGTAACCACTCAGAACAGGCATCATGCATTAAGTAATAGCAGGCCATGGCATAAAMCTACTCTAATAAGGGCTGGAAAAGAAAGGGAGGTCCTATAAACAATCCTTTTCTGGAAGCAGTAGAAATCAGAAATAATAGATAGTCTTAGAGTGAAACAACCTGTTTTAGGCTGAAAGGAATTACTGGCAATTCTGTCCTCCAAACCCTTTGAGTGCTTCCTCCATTCTTTTTTTTCCTGCTTATCCTCATGGTATCTTATTTCTTGAAATGATAGTGATAAATCTATTCTTTTATTCTTCAGAGAAGACTCATCTCACCTCTCCCTGGTGTATTTCTTACATTGTGTTGTGTTCTTAGTTCATTGCCAGCAAAACAAAGCAAACTAAGTTTCCACTATGTTATGTAAATCTCAGATCTTTTGCCGGCTTATCTAGAGAGGATCAGAGAAAAAGAAATCTGTCCTCATTTATAGCACACTCTTTGATTTGTAGAAGTTGCTTGTGCAACAGCATTTTTCGAAGGAACTCATTTAAACTGAAAAATCCCCAAAACAGAGAGATTAGCTGCTTTCTACAATGCATAATCAAAAGAATAAAGGAAGATACAAATGTATCTCTGGCCTTGTAGCAGCTTTGGACATCAGTGGGTTAAAAGATATTCAGATTGATAGATTACAGAGGTGCTTGTAAGTGGACACATTACAAACATTTAGGGTTGAGGAAGCACAGCAAACTTTCCAGGCGTAACATTTTGGTGGAATACTAATTTAATGAGAACAATAAACTTCTGTCAATCAAAAAACTTGAGGGGCCTGAAGGTAATCAGTTAACTGRAAGGCTTGTATGTTCCAGGGAATTTAATGGTTTGTGTCTTGATAGTTTGACAAAAATGTTTCACTCAGATGTCTATAAAATTAAAATACTATAACWAAGTTTTGCAATTTTTGGCAGTCTTTGGGGAACTGGCATTCCATGCTAGAAAAACAAATGTGAGCTGTTAGTTACCATCCGAACACATATGGGGGAAAATGTTCAAATTAAAACGAGTTAAGATCACAGTATGTGAAAAATAAGAGTCATCAATCACATTGAAAAGAGCAGAACCATTATTTCTGGTGGAGATGAGTAATCTCAAATATGTGTTACAGAAAACTGCTGGAGTGAGCGCAGTCCTGGGAAGAATTGGACTGATCCGGGTTTAACTGAGATCAATTCAGGGGAGTCTTGATTACAGTTYTCCTCCTTTTTGGTTACAATGTTGAGAGCAGGCCAGGGAAAAGCASAAATAACTTTAAAATGTTTCAACACGAAGGCAAGAAAGTTACTTTAAAGCTGGCAGGCAGATGCTCCATTGGGCTGTCCCTGCAGATTTGTGCAGTGTGTGTGCTCTGCCACCCAAAGGACGCTCGGAGCAAAACCTTGGACAAATGAATTCAGAAACTTGATGTGKTTTGAGATAAAATTATAGCCATTCCATCACCCCTACTTTTTAAAAGTATACATGAAACTCTAAAATAAAAATACTGCTTTTAAGGCATGAGTGCCATACCATAAGGCAGCAATATAATTTTAAGTTAAATAATGAAGTAACAGTTTCTTTTGGTAAAATGTGGMCCTTCATATGTGAAATGGTAAAGCATGAAATAGTAGAGCTCATTTAGGTTAAACAACTGTTTAGAAACAGGACACACCACCTTTTTGTTTTCAAAATTTAATAACAGAATTTGATTGAGTTAATCTGATAATAATTTGAGGGCATAAATTAGATAATATTATTGTATTCTGAAATAGTAACTCTTTTTCATAGAGTCTACATCAGGAAACCACTTGTGTCAGACTTCATTTTTATTTTAATAATGGTTCACATTTTTTCTTTTCATTTATTCTTTTGTTTTCATACCAGGTAATAATTGATTCTGATACATTAACAGTTMTAAACATGTATAAAATACTTCTCTTGTCTCTACTTTTGTCTGGAAACTTATCTACTTTATGTTTTAATTCAGTCTGGAAGCATCTTGAGAAACATTTTCCTGCCTTCTTCCCAGTTCCACTCAAGCTGGCGGTTTCTGTGCTGAGTCTGGAAACAGCACCAGTGTATCTGATTATAGGAAAGAGATTTCTGAGTCTTAGTTACCTTGCAAAAACAATTTACATATACTCAGTGAGTTTGCCATTGATTGTATTTGTTTGCAATGTGTTAGATTTAAAGATTCTGTAGGTCTGCAGATGATACCACGAAGTACTATAAAACAAATAAGAAGTGACTGCCCTCAATCAGCAAAAAGATTTGGTAAGTTAAATAGAAGTCCTAAGAAGAGTTCTTGGGCTTTTTTGGGTTTTTTTGGTTGTGGTTTTTTTTTGGTTTTTTGGGGTTTTTTTGGTTTGTTTGGTTTTTTATTTTTCAGTTCACAACTTCATAAAATCCATGAAAATATTGAAACATTATGCCCTGCAATTTAGAGGTGTGTGTTTGATATGACCTGATACTAYGACCAGCCCCTCAGCTGTTCTCTTCTCTATTAAATTATAGTGAGTGATAGTGAGATCAATAAAACATTCTTGGACTTTCTCTCCTCCCTGAATGGATATCAACTAAAGGCATATTCAAAAGGTCTTAATATAAAAACATCACCCTTATTCAAAAAGCTGGCTAGGAAAGGAATCTTGGAATACAGACAATAAGCTCATTTCCACTTCTAACTCAGTCATTCCATTTCTTGGCCTGGACATCAGAGCACACATTCCCTCACTTCACTCTCTCATATTTTTTCTCATTATGCTAGAAATTAATTYGTCTGTTGATTAGCACTGTCTCTCTGTATTTTCACAGCACATTAAAATACATTTCAAAGTTTTATGTATGGGASAAAACTACGGTTTAATATGAAGACAAATGATTGTATATGCATTTCTGAAAATTGATAGAACATTTTGTAAAATGTATTTCTTTTCAGCATTGGTGCTCAAAATATTATCTATGATCTATAAGATGGTGCAGAGCAACACTTATGCAACTAAAAGGTAACAAAGTCAATTTCTATAATTTCAAAAAAAGCTGTGTTTTAAGTATGTTTTTGTGAAAAAACAACCTATAGGATGCAAACCTGTAGGATTCCTGTATGTGGAATGCTTTAGATTTGTCTCATTAACCACACTGTTTATAAAATTCTCATGAGCCTGCAGGTGTTTCAGTATTATAATTAAAAATACAATATTTTGTCTTSATAGAGATATATATTACTCAGATACTCTACTATTTGGCAGCCAAAGTATAGTGGACCAAATAATCAATGACATTTCTTGCATGCTTAAGATACCTCGGAGAAGTCTACATATAGTAAGTGCCTTCTTATCAATGTTATTGTAATTATTTCCAAATCTTATTAAACTGAATTAAATTGACTRAACTGAAAGGGGAAATATCACAAAAAGTTATCCGCAGGAATTAAATAGTTAAAATTTGAAGTCTCATTGGTGCCATTGAYACCTAATTATGGTTCATTGTGGCACTCAAAAGGTTTATTTCTTCACAGATCATAGAGTTTGCTTTTTTCCAAAGAGTTTGAGACAAAACTGCCAGTTAAAATCACAGTGGCTGTTACCATCTAGTGAAGGCAGTGCTTAAACTTCAGAGTGCAAGACACCTGTTCAGCAGTTTGTACTCAAATTAATTTGCTAACTGGGGGTTAAATGAAAACTTAAAGTACGTCAGAAATGCAACAGCCTGTCAAATTTACTTGTATCTCATGCCTTACAAGGGTTCCTTTGTATCTAAAATTAGTTATTATAAGTAAGCCTTTATGTCCATGAGGACAACATTTCTTAGCATTTGAAAGTCTGATGGCAGTGAATCGCTGTTTAGTACCAGACAGAATTCTTTTCAGAGATTTTTTGTTTTGTCTGTGCAATACAGTAACATGTCCACCTGTAACTTCCCACTTACTTTATAAAACTTACTGTTTTTTCCAGCTGTCCACAACTAAAGGTTTTGTTGCTGGTAATTTAAGTTACACTGAGGAGGATGGTACAAAAGTGAATTGTACCTGCAGTACAACAGTATGTATTATAAACCACAAATAGCAATCCCTAGCATCTGTACAAGATATCCTGCACTTCTTGTAGCTCAGGTTGCTGTAGCAAACCTCTGCATGTAGCAAATTGAGGCATTACAACTTGGATGAATAAAATAGATGACTGTATTGTAACTCTGAAGTTCAGTTATAGACTCACCAGGAATAAATCTCTGGATATGGTTTTTAGCCATGGGAGCCTTGCAGAGGAAGGTGTATATGTGATGTATCTTAGGCTTTATATGATAGTGTTCTGTCAAATGAGTGTTGTTGAACCAAAGATTCCTGGGCCCTCTGAACATACAGCACAACAGATTGAATTCTGGCAGAGTGAGAAAACAAGTCAAGAGTGGTTTAAGGAGATGGGATTCGACTGGCCTAGTCCTGAGAGATTTTCTACAGCAGTGCAGAGTATGAAAGCAGAATTGACTACAAATTAATTCAATTGACTGTCCCAAACTTCTGAAAAATGTGTTCATTGTAAGACTTAGTTGGTCATTTCAAAATTGAAAGACGTTAGCTGCCCATTATACTTTGTAAGCAGAGCATAAAGACCCCTGTTATTGATCTCCATACTTTTAGCTGCTGAGTTGTTCCACCCTGGCACTGGAGAAAATTTACAGTCAGAAGTTAAAACAGACCACACACTTCCATATACACATTCTCTTTGACCAAGTTCTTCCCCCAGTTCCTGTTTTCTTATCCATATGCTTGCCAGATTGAGCCAGTCCTAATAGGAGATGTAAAGTAAACATTACCATGTCTTCAAGTTGTTGCTCCAAAATACTTATGAAATCAGGTTATAGGTCAGTAAAAGAAAGGATTTAATGGTCTTTTGAAAAGAATGCTTTAATGTTTTAAGTGTGTATTAAATTTGAAATCTTCACACCAAGCAGACATTTTTTCCTGGCTAAGACAGATAAAACATTAATCAGGATATTATTATTATCTCCATTATGCCCATATGATGAACATTTTTCTGCAACAATGGCACAAACACTTTTGAAAAGAATCTTGTTATGACAGGAGGACTCCTAGACCACTACAAAATAGTGCATATGAATGGTTGAATATGCTCATAGAGGTGAAAATGTCAGAACTGATCTTGTATATAGAGGAGGAATGGTTGTTTCAGGATGAAATCGTGTCCTTCATAACCTAATGTTGTTATTTTAAAATATATCATTTTCTCTATTTCAAATTATTAATCTCATTTCTGTTGTTTTAGGCAGTTGCTGTGCCATCTAATGTTCAAGGAATTAAAAGTATCCTTTGAGCAAGAACTCTAATCGTAGACAGAAAAAAATAAAGTAAAAACAAGGAATATTCCAAGTTAAACAACGTTCTGGTAATTTTTGCTTTGCTTGTTGGCTCTGAAATTGAGTCATGATCACTGCTTTTGGCTCCAGAACAGGTATTTTAGAGCAGCTAGTTTTAATTGATTGGTGTGATGGGTCATTTTACATGCAGCTAGCCTTAACACAAGAGATTTAAATTCACATGCCAAATTCATGTTAATTGTAGAAAAAGACGCAACCTTTCAGAGACTCCTGGATGATGACTTCTTCAGTAAAGTGTCCCCATGTATCATGATCACGGTATGCATCTTGCATTTCATATCCTCCAGCTACACTTAATTTAAGCAATACTTTATCTTCTTCAACTTGAGCAAAAGACCATAATRAAATTAATATGAAACATATTTAACAATAATTGTTTAAAATTTGATTATCCTCATAGAAATATGAAATGCATATTCTAAAGACTTATTTCCTCCAAACGTCTACTTAGAGCTTGGTAGCTTATCAGCTTCCTGTKCTGCTGAAAAGTTGCTGCTCAGTCTCAAAAAGGCTCAACTGTTCAGTGACCTTTTGTCCTTAAGGATCTGGGTTTTGCAGATCCAAATGAAACAAAATTGGTTGATTTTGGATTGTACTGAAACAGATATGGAGCCAGGAGAATTAACAAGAATGTGTAAATGAAATATGCATACAATGAGGGAAAAAAATTTCCCCATTCTAAGAGAGATAAGCACTTCTACCATGCTATGAGCAGTCCAGTTCTGGTCAGGCATAGCAAGAACTTGTTTTATATTGTTCCATTAATGCCATAAATATATATTTGAGATAAAAAGTGGTCTTCTTACACCAGCTCATACAGACACCAGGGTACATCTATACATCAACTGCCAGACCTCATAAATTAACCCCTTAAACAGTGCAATGTCTGATACTTGTGCAGTGCCTGTAATCCAGAACACCTGCCCAGCAGCCCCAAGCCTGGCCTTCCCTCTGCACAGAGCCAAAATAGGAGCATAGAACTTTCCTGCAAAACAGCTGCAGGAGAAACGTTTCTGCCAGCATTTGTTTGTTTGCTTACTTTTAAATGGCAAATGTAAACACAYATGTAGCCAGATGTTGTTTCAGTTAATTTGAAACTGTCTGCTTTTCTTTTATTTCTCTAGGGAAGAGGCATACCAGATCTTAATACACGACTTTTGGTCAGGAAGCTGTGGGATTCTTTTAAAATTCCTATTTTCACCCTTATGGATGCAGATCCACATGGTAAATCTGTAGAGGTTGAATAGCATAAAAGGAAAGAAAAATTTGTTTAGAATGTCCTTTCTTGCTCTTAYGGAAAGATTCTGGGAGCCCAGAAATCCTACACAATCAGAAGGCTCTGTATCTACTTTGATACTTTGAACTTAGGAAGATTACTGCAAAATGAGAAGCAGCTGCTCAAAGCARTTATATTAAGAGATATGAATTACACATATAAAGGGTAAAGACAGACATTTTTAATAATAGATGTTGGACAACATGTAAAAGCTGATTATCCTTGGTTTTGAATTGACTACACACAATGTGAAACATTTAACTATATGAAGGTGATATATTATCTCAGATTATTGTTTTGACATAATCTAAAGATATATGTAAACCATAAAGATCATAAAGCCATAACTGTTATGCCATAAAACTGAAYTTTTAAAGTCTCCTTAAACATGCCCATTGTGCAGACAAACACACTTGACTTTTGGTATTCTGCAACCCAGGTGTAGAAATAATGTGCGTCTACAAATATGGATCTGTGGTGAGTACATTTCTTCCACTTCAAAAACTTTGTTTCATAGCACTGCCTGAAAGCTGGAATGCATGAAATGCTACAACCTTTGTCAGAATRGGTACTGCCATTTACCATTTTGTTTTAACACAAAAATATGGTTTTTAGGCCTTATGTGTCTGCAGAAACAGCTTSTTCCTGCAACAAAAAGAAACTGGATAGTAATGACAGGTGTTCCATTTAACTRTATTTCACAATTTTTCTCTGCTGCACAGGCAGTTTTCAGACAGTCCAAATARAAAAGGGTTCATCATTTGACTTTGTTTCTGCCTTAGAAGAGGAGTGAAAGCTGAAGGGATGTTGGGAGGAGGAGGACCTAACTTGTGAGATGGGTGATTCCCCACAAAATCRTGTTATGTTGGTAAAGATTTTATTCTGGAGTGAGAATTTGCTTAGTATACTTGTGTTAGTGTCGAACATAATAGAAGAAGAAGCAGAAGGAGTAAGAAAATATTATCATGCTACATGACTACAGACAAGGTATGGAAACACAATATGGAAGGCAGGCAGATACAGGTGAARGCAGAGGGCAGATGGGTGAACTGTTCAGTAGAGAAATGGAAGGAGAACATCCCAACTTAAACTAAAGATCACTGAATGTTATAGYTGACCTTTCTTATTTCAGTCCATGTCTTTTGAGGCCCACCACCTCACTGTTCCCTCTATCAAGTGGCTTGGTCTCCTCCCATCTGATCTCAAGAGGTGAGTTATTTCCCCAAAAGACACAGAAGKATCCCTCTGCTTCACAGACAGGAAATGCAGTCTGACTTACTGYAAAGAGATCCATTTAAATCCATTATTCTTTTCATTAATGATTTTGGCTTCATATCAAGCAACAAGTTAGAAAAAGATATTTTTAAGTGTATGAAGAAATTTAAGAGTCTTATTTTCTTTGCAGATTAAACATATGCAAAGATGCCCTGATTCCATTTACAAAGCAAGATGAAAATAAGTTAGCAAGTATTCAAAAGAGACCTTACATTGCTTGTCAGCCACTGTGGAAAAAGGAGGTATGGATTTAATTTTCTTACTTAAATGCCTACTTGACCCTGGATCACACAATTACAGCATCCCACATTAATATTTTTATCTTTTTTTTTTCCCTCTTTTAGCTGGAAATTCTGGCAGCAACTAAACTGAAAGCTGAAATTCAAGTTCTAACTTCTCTCTCATCAGATTACCTGTCCAGAGTCTACTTACCAAACAAACTGCAGTTTGGTGGATGGCTATGAATGCTGCTCTGCAAATTAAATGTTTTTTCTATATATTTATTTATTTATTTWGACTGCTCTTGAGAGAAAAAAAGGTGCAGAGACAGAGAAGTATCTGTCAGTTTGTTGTTCTGTTTCTTTATCACTGCATCTAGACTRTAATTTTCTCTTTTTCTTCGTTCAAACCATAAGTGAAATTATGATTTTTGCAGAATATTGCTATTTCCATTCTGTGGTTTCTGCCGTGAAACGGTGCCAAATGCAATGGTACACACAGAAAAGATAATGAAATATGTTCTTTCTGGCCAGAAAAAYGTGAAGTTCAAAAATGTATCCAGAAATTGTTTTGCTTCTGTGTTAAAGCACAGGATGATGCTGTACCAAGCTTTTTATTTTTGAAGGGAGTGAAATTTATTGCACATGCCTCCTTTTGGATTTTTTTTTTTTTTTTACGTGTAACATTGGGGGGGTTTTTGTTCACTATAAATTCAGATTAAAAGCCAGAAATAATTCTTTATTGCTGCATATCTCAAGCATCTATAAACCTTCCAGCAATCAAATTACTATTTGTTTTCAACGAACAAATAAGAAAGCAGATGTTACTGATTAAGAATTCAATAAATAATTCTGTTAACCATGCACATCRTAACAGAATCCCTTGTTCATTTTATTTATTTATTTGGCTCTAAGACAGTAAAAAGAAGCAGAAAACTGTGGTGATTAAAATGTGAAATAATTTTTATATGAGGGAGTCAGACTGTATAGAAAGTAGTTCCAAAATTGATCTCCAGAGTCATGAGCATGGACCTAACTGACGATATTTGCAGTAGATACATCTAGTTGGGGGTTTTCGTAGCTGTTACATCAGTATTAAAATTTAACGAAATATCCTCTTTATTAATTGCACAGTTAAAAGCAGTGTTACAACTGATGATGGTCGGCGTGCAGATGCCCAAGCACTGCAAACCCAGGGAACACAAGGCAGCTGYACCACAGCAGGGCCAGATCACCTGGGGCTCGGGGACATCCCTAAAAATCATCCAACTTGCGACACGCACCGCAGCTCCGGGACAGCAAACGGAGAGGGCGGGGTGCTGAGGAGAGGGCGGGGCGGTGAAGAGGGGCGGGGCCCGSCCGGGAGCTCCGCCCAGCCCGGGCCGTGTCCCAGTGCGCAGCCGCGGCCCCGCCCCGCCCCGCACCGCTATTTAGGGCGCAGCCGCAGTCAATCCCGCCCCGCTCCCTCACAGCGCAGCCGCGCCTCCGCCCCGTCCCGCCCCGTCCTCCCAGAGCGCAGCCGTGGCTCCGTTCGCTCTGCCCCTTTCCTCCGGCCCCGCCTCTCCTGCCCCAGCCGCAGCCGCGGCTCCGCCTCTCTCCGCCCCGCTCCGCCGCTCTCCGCCCCCACGCTGCCCCGTCCCGCCCGCCCGCCCAGGCCGCAGCCGCGGCTCCGCCCCGCGGCGCTTGCGCAGGAGGCACGGCCCGGCCCGTCCCGCGCTCGCCGCTGCCGTGTCGCTGCTACCGGGCCGGAGAGGGCCCCGCATCGGTGCGTGAGGGCGGCCCCGGCCCCGGCAGCGCCCGAGGACCGCTCCGGGTGCTGCTGGATGGGGACAGGGAGCCCCGGGGAGCGGCGGGTCCGGGGGTGGGCAGAGAGCCCGGCTGGGGTGTGCGCCACACGGGCAGAGCCCGGTCCGSGCTCGGGCTGCCGCAGCCCCGGGTGCCAGTGAGGGGCATGGCAGTGCTGGCTCTGCCGGGGCACGGCCCCTGAGGGATCCGCGGTACGGTGGGCAGCCGGGAGTTGTGGGGGATCCAGCAGCAACGAGAAGCGTCTTTTCGGTTTTTTATTTTTTCAAATTTTGTTTGGTATATTTGTATATCCTTGGGTGCCTCCCAGAGGTGTGCTGGTGTGGCTGCGATGAGACACCCTGGGCACGCTTGAGGGCCTTGCAGAGCTCAATATTTTTTGCTCGTTTGCAGGGCAAGGATGAGTCTGTTCGGATCGACGTCGGGGTTTGGTACGGGAGGTACCAGCATGTTTGGCAGCACCACAGCAGATAACCACAACCCGATGAAGGTACGTGTGTCAGCCCCCCGTGCTGCTGTGTATGTTCGTGTATCACAGCAGGATATACTGACCCATTCTATAAAACTAGTAAGCTCAGTTCACAGCTTTCAAATGTGCCAAATTCTGCTCTGTCTCCTGTCTTTTACAGGATATTGAAGTAACRTCTCCACCTGATGACAGCATATCTTGTTTAGCATTTAGTCCACCAACGCTGCCKGGTAATTTCCTTATTGCAGGATCATGGGCAAATGATGTAAGTACTTGCAATAATATGTGCAGATAAATAAAACACTTAAACTGCAAAATGGGATCCTAAAAGCTTGTGCCAGGGCATCTGAAAACCTAACTTGTTGAAGAGCTGCAAAATTTATGTCWGGTACCAAGGCACTAAGTTTGACGTAGTTGATAAATCATCCACTTTGACAGTGCAGTCCCGAAAAGATTAAGTTATTGTTTAAGTTATCAGACAAAGTTATTGCAGTTTTTTTGGGTTTGAAGGATGAGATCCCAGCAGGCCTAGGCCTGCTGTGTTCTGACTGCTGTGTTGTACCCAGCTGAGGGCTAAAGGTTTTTCAGGACAGTGTGGTGAGGAGTTACAAGTTTATAAGCTACTTTTTGAGGTGGAGTTGAAGTTGGGTTGAGTTTTGGCTCTACAGGTGAAACGAACATAAGCAGAAAAATAAGGCTTCAGTAGTTCTGAAAAAACCCCAGACTCTTGTATTTATAACCATGCTTTTTGTTGGATARACTAAGGTTGGAGTCTTCAAGACAAGTTTTTGAAGTTCCTGTAAATATATCACATCTGCATTTGCTTTTCCTCTTCCAGGTCCGCTGCTGGGAAGTTCAGGATAACGGACAGACAATTCCAAAGGCTCAGCAGATGCACACAGGGCCTGTACTAGATGCCTGCTGGAGTGATGTATGTTCTTATTTAAGAGCAAATACACAATTTTTAMCAAAGCCTTAAATAAATTGGTGTGTGCTTTTCAGGCACACGAGTGCCACATGTAGCTGCAGCCCAAAGTTACTGTAAAGACTCAGATTGCTGTAAATGTGTCCTAATGGGATAGACTAGCATGGGTGTAAGAAAGAAAGCTAAAAGTGAGTTTAGAAGTGTATTAAGAGCTAGATAAAAGCCAGCAGTTTGCTCTTTTATAATATAGTCATAAATAAATTTGATTTTGTGTTTCTTCTTTGTCTTGCAATCCTTGTACATGTTACGTTGATGGTACACTGTTACTAGAAGAGAATGASACTTTACAGTTTTCTGATGGAGCCAGTTAATCTCTTGGTTTTATTCTTGTTTTTTAGGATGGGAGTAAAGTATTTACTGCTTCTTGTGATAAAACTGCCAAAATGTGGGATCTCAACAGTAATCAGGCAATTCAGATTGCACARGTAAGTAAGGCCTAAACTACTGGATGGGTTTTTTTCTTTTTCTGTTTTTATTAAAAGCAACCTTTCTAATTTTTTTTTTATTTTTGATAGTGAAATGCCCTTCCAACAGGTGATCAAAATGATTTTGAATAACCTATGCACCTGTTTTCTCTGTTGTACTTAAGAGAGCTCTTTCCACTGCTGCAGTGATCTCACCAAGTCACCTTGCTGCATTAAAGGGAAAGATACTTTTTAGTYATTCAATTCAGTTCAGAAATACCAGCATTCTGCTGTGACAGTAACAGGGATTACAATTTACATTCTYAAATTAGAAATTAATGTCTGTTTGTAGAATATGTAATTATGTGAGTGAAATTAGTTACTATGTACAATTTAGGAAGGCAGGCTCTAATGATTGTTTCTTGTATGTGTGTTTGTCCTTTTTTGCTTCAGCATGATGCWCCTGTGAAGACAATCCATTGGATTAAAGCACCAAATTACAGCTGTGTGATGACAGGAAGCTGGGATAAAACTTTGAAGGTATGATTTTTATTGAACAAGTGGACACGAAGAGTGCTGGTAATTCGTGTATAAACATATTTCTGTGAAGTAAAAATATTTGATTAGTCTCTAATAGTGGAATAACCTTACTTCACAGAGAGTTACACTATTCTGCTTATAACAAGAAGGAAACATCTTGGTGCCAGTTTTATTCTTTCTCCTGTAGTTAATTTTAAGTGTCCTGAGTTCCAAGTGTGAGTTTGTTTATTTTTCTGTTCCCCTCAGTTCTGGGATACCCGTTCACCAACACCTATGATGACCCTGCAGCTCCCTGAGAGATGTTACTGTGCAGATGTGGTAAGTCAGGGTGTGTGGTGAACTGGTGCCAGCTGGGTAACTGGGAATGGGAGTAAGTTTTGGGGGCTTCTGTGGGATAGCACTGAGTGCTATTAACACAATTAATTAACACACATCTCTCTTCCAAATTATTTTRCCTTATCCAGGTTCATCCTATGGCAGCTGTGGCCACTGCAGAAAGGGGTTTGATAGTTTATCAGTTAGAGAACCAACCTTCTGAATTTAGAAGGATAGAATCTCCTCTTAAACACCAGGTAAATAATAGTATTTGAGTGTATTTATAGATTGTTGACACTCTGGGTTTGACATCTTTTGTAAAATCATGCAGTGTTTTAAAATCAACTTATCTTACCATGGCAGTGACTTGATTTGGCATTGATGTTGCTGATCTAGCAAGGATTTAGGAATTTAAATACTGTAGCCCAAATTTTCAGCAGAATTTGACCTCTTGACCTTTTTATTGGTTTTGTTTTACCTTGCCTTGATGTCTTKGATGTTTTGTATCTCTGTGCAAAAGATGTCTCTGTGTAAAACTCCTTTGTGTTTTTTTCACATTCAGCATCGCTGTGTTGCTATTTTCAAAGACAAAGTGAACAAACCAACTGGATTTGCCCTTGGAAGTATTGAAGGAAGAGTAGCTATTCATTATATCAACCCCCCAAATCCGTAAGTGTTGTTTAATGAAGCATCTTCTCTTTATTGTTTAGCTCACAGTGATGAAAAAAGCAAGCCTTTTACTTTTTTTTTATTTTCTATTTCCAGTGCAAAAGATAATTTCACTTTTAAATGTCATCGCTCCAATGGAACAAACACATCAGCACCTCAGGACATCTATGCTGTGAGTATCCAATGAGTATCCAACATGTACCACATATACACTATACACTCCTAATGTAAAATTTGCTTTGAATTGTTTGTTCTTCTTGACCTTTTATCTTGCCTAAAGTTGTCTTAGACATGTTTAAAGACCTGTCATAGTCACTCTAAGAAGAAAGGCAAATTCTCATACTTCCCATAAAGCAAGCACTAGATCAGCCTTTCATTGAATCTTCTTGTCAACAAGTGGAGCTGACACTTGTAATGGCATTATGCACTGAATTTTTAGGTGCTACAAAAAAAAAGATGATGTTTTTCTTGTTGCTT